ATCAAACACTTGGACTGACGTTTAATGAAACGAACCACAGAAATATGCAGACGAAGCATCACGGGAGCAAATGGGTCCTCGCTAAGGGTGAGGACCGACTCTTAACGTTCGAAAACAAGTGACAAGACCAGGCAAAGGCCATAATTGCGCCGTAGCCTAGCACCCCATCTGCTGTTGATATTCACTATCAGTCGGAACGGAGAGGGATGGAATGAGCCCACCTGCGGCGTTTTTACCACTGTTCTTTTCTTACTTAATCGATCACTAAACGATCACTGTGGGTAGAGGGACAGTCGGAGGCGAGCTCGTCCCGCGCCTCCTAACACCGTGAGGGCAATATTGCGACGATATCAACTACACCCTTTGCACCGTGATTTCTTAGCCTCAGATTTTGGCTCACACTTGCTGTTCTAGATGGATAAGGCAGAAACGATTTGATTTGGTGACCGGTTCATGGGTGATGACAGATGAGGCAAATCCGTACTTCCCAGTCACTGTTGACAATATCGTTGAGGGATTCCAGTTTATCAATAAAGAGTTCGGTATGGTATTTCTCGTACCTTCTTTCCTTTTTTCAACGCAGCTTTTTTCTCATTTAATAAAAAAACCAACTAACATTTATTCAAGGTGTGAAACCATCGGTGCTGTTCTCCTTGGATCCATTTGGGCACAGTAATTCTATCGCTTATCTCTACTCACAAGCAGGTGAGGTGACTTCAGATGCGAAATTCCTTCTCAAGAGCTTTCGATCTGGCTCTTTTATTGAGCCCTTTTATTACTTTCACACCTTCCTATTTCTTGTAGTTTTCTTTCTTTTTTGATTAACGATGAATTCATTGTTCGGCAGGACGCAATGGATGCTCGTCGTGTAGGCAAAGCCAGAGCTTCCGTCGTGCCGCCTTGCGCAGCTCCCCTTCTTACCATCTACGGAAGTAGGGTGGAATAGTTGTGGCTGCGACCCCGCCAGGGCTAGGAGCGTGAAATTTCCTTCAGACGCCTCCAGCTGGCTTGGCACCCCTAATTGCCAAGGTGCTCCACCTGGGGCCACTCCTCTATCGTCATCTTGTCTACATTAGCGTTCCAGATGTTGCGACAAGGACTCTCTCTCTCACTACCTGTTACTCAGCGATTAATCCAGGTTAGGCTGACTTTAGTTGCACTTGAGGTGAATGTGGCACGCTCACCACGTGCGCTGTCTGGCGGCCAAATTCTGGATCGGTCAGATCCCGGCTTTTCTCCACCGGTAACCAATTAGTACTCAGAGTTCTTACAAAATCCAACAGCTTGTAATAGCAGGACTCACTTCGCGAATCGCGCAAAATAGTACCTTTCCTAGTTTGCATAAAAACGAGTAACGAAGTCAAGTCAGTGTGCTCTGGTCTTCATTCGAGAGACATGACTGCTGTTCGGCCATCCGCTAGAGATGGTAAGGCGTTCACTATCAGAAGCATCTGTTCTAATCAGCGGTTTCAGGAGCTCACCGATGTGCAATGCTAATAGTGGGGGAGGGGAAGTCGAAGTAGGTCTCCCTGCAAGGGTTAAGAGCTCAGTTGGTCACCTTGGCGGCTCTTGTTGTGAGAGCTGCTCCTCACGTAATACCGGAGTAGGCGCAGTCTGTAACTTTCTCATGTATCACAAGGCTGGGTTGACGCAACGCTTCAACTGGGACTGGAACCTGGACGTGACGTATTCCAGTCAGATCTGCTTGTGATAGCTTTGGAAAGTGAACTGCCTAGCGAAAGTATAAAATGGCACTTGGCAAAGAAGGAGAATTCTAATAAACTTCCAGTGTTTGTTACAAATTCATATTTTTTATTTTCTTCTCAATATATTTTCAAATTGCAATCAATTACTCACCTGTTAAGGAATTCATCGAGAAGTGATCAACAGAATCTCCTCTGATACAAAAGAGTTCCTTCGAGGCATACAAGCGCATCAATTCATTTGGAAACAGTACTTTGGTAAGGTGAAACCTTTTCACTTTAAGTTCTTTTCACTTGATTCAGTTTTCCAGAAAGCAACCTCCTTTAGTGACCTGTCGGTCGTTTGATACTTAATTGGACCACGAAACAGTACTGATGTAATTCAAGCCTATGATTTCGTCCACAAGTTGAGTTCATGGCGCATCCTCTAAGAATAGTACCATTTATGGAAGATACCTCTTTTTAACAAGCACGATACGGCATAAAGCGTTCTCTTCAAGACTCCATAGTCCTTACCCTATATAAATAACCGTGTGAGTATCAGTGCTCGCCTAGGGAGTGGGGCCAGATTTAAACACGCAACCTTCCATTACACTCTTTATCCCTGACACGGAGTAGGCGTGGCACTTGGACATGGCATAGGATAAGTTACTCGTAAGATTTTCCAACCTGAAACAAGTGTCTTGTTCTGTGCTCGATAAAGGCATGACCACAAGGGTCTCGAAAAGAAAATAGCTCATCGAAAGCTGAGTCACCGCCACTTTTAGTTGGAGTACGCAGCCACGCCTACCGCATTTCAGGGATTTCGAGTGTACGTGGTTGAAATTCACAGGTTGCGCCTTCCCCTCGTAAGCTACGGAAAAATTGCATAAGGAGAAGCGAGTGGGTCCTTGGAGCATCGGCGAGTTTGGACTCCACCGTCTTGTCCACTGCGGCTGCTGGGGCGTGTCAGCGAGGCCGGGCAACCAGCCCGTTCTCTAGTAATTGTTGACACAGGCAAGCGAAAACAATCGGCTGGCGACGCGTCATACCCAGTTCTCTTGCCTTAGCGTCTGCAGCGAAAACGACTATATGACCCGGATGGCGACATATTGCTTCCTTTGATGTTCCCTATTTTCTTGGACATAAGGCGCGTAGGTTCATAGGGCGCTTTGCGAATGTGTTTGTAACTTTACTTTCTCGTGTTTTTTCTTATCTACCTAAATCTATTGGATCGATGAATCGAATAAGGATTGCCTGAAGATCGATTAGGAGATACGCAAAGAGGCTAAAAAGCGTTGCGTGTTTAGAAACTTTACGCGCACGTTGACGCATGCGTCTCTATGGCAACTGCATGCGACTTATATGCCAAAATAAGGTGTTTTACACTTTCTCGTTTCAGATGAAATTAGTGAAGATGGTGTTTGGACGCATGTATTACCGTATTCCCATTACGATATTCCGTCAACATGCGGACCAGATCCTAGAATATGCTGTGAAATCGATGTCTTTCGCTATTACAAGCACTACCCGTGCAGTGGTGATGTAAAGCCAATTGATAAAGGAAACGTCCAGATAAAGTGAGTCTACTAACATAGCAATTGTACACAAACCTTTAATCATTTATTTCGTTTTTAACATCGGTGGGGTGTAGATACAATAGCTAGTATATATTTTCTACAGTCTTGTTCGCTGCGGCTGCTGGGGGTGTATGGGAAGCTGAGTTTGGCGCGACGCCAGCCGGTTCTCCACCAAGTGATGAAGCGGGACAAGCGTCAGAGGAAGAACGGGTCAGCGTCGCATCAAACCCCGCCCCTGATACGCCCCGCTTCGGCTGTGAACAAGACTATACATTTGTTGGTTTATTTATATGACTGTTCAGAAGTTGGAATTTACCTGATTAGTCTCGAGGGGTTGATATTGAATGAACATGTTGATATGATAAGCAGAACATGATGCACTGCATCTGAAAAAAAACAGTTTCTGATGCTGCAACTCTGAAAGCTCACACAAAATAGGACTTTAATGAGCACTGCGCTAGTTGAGCGACGTTCCAGATACGTACATTCTCATCTCAAAGTCCCTGGGATGAGCTCCCCCCCCCCTTCTTTTTTACAGTCAAAATTTAGCACTGGCAAGAAGCGAGAGGCGAAGAGACACTGCGAACGCGAGTGAGAAACCAGACAAAGAGGATAAGAGATCAGAAAACAAATCAAACGGGAGGCATGATCCCATACTGATGAGAACCTGATGCCATTCATCTGTGTGTGGGGCCGCCGGCTCATGTTAGGGTTACTTCGGCAAAAATTAGCCTCGTCATACGTCATTGAGCTGCTACAGTGGTGCAACCTCTGCTTTGCGTACCGGGCTAGCCTGTACAAGAATGGGGTCTACACGTCAGATAGTCGCAGAATGTGCCTTTAACACCATCAGAAAGTGAAGCATGCTATTCTTGTATGTACCGCGTATTAGCTAAGATGTGCTGGGCCATCCAAGAAATCTAGCGAGAAAAAAAAATGTTTTTCTTTTAGGGCAAAGGGACTCAGCAATCAACTTATGGTAATGTCAAAACAGTACGTTTCAAATGTGGTCATCATGTTCTACGGAGACGATTTCCGATTCACTACACCCTTCGAATGGAAAGTTCAATATGAAGCTCTCCGTTATCTGTTTGACGAAATCAACTCGAAGGATCAGATCCAGATAGGGTAATCATTTCATCATTGAAAGGACAGGGGGTGGGACGTTATTTCCACGTTGCTGCGACAGCAATGGCAATGGCAATGCGTTGCAAGAGCAGTGGCATGCATGACATCCACACTTGAGTGTGATTGATTCAACGTGGATGTGCTACGGTATGTTCAGAAAAGAACCCTGAAAACACTAGTCGGTTTGTACTCACCCTGAAAATACTAGTCAGTTTGTAGTCGTCGCGGCAATGTAAACTCGCTAAGCGACATCGAGCGGAAAGAGATACTGTTGCTGCGCGAGTACGGTAGAGCGGGCAGACTGTTGACCTTGTGACTTTTTGATAAGCCAGTCTTTTGCGAATTAAATGGACCTTAGTATAGATTATTTGTATCTCACGTGCTCACGTTGGAGGGCCACGTCGTAATTTGGAGATATCCAACGAGGGGAGTCGTATTTGGCTGCTGGAGGAGGGCAGGTCGTATCAGAGGTGGTAATCTATACGGTAGGAGTCGTATCTTGCGAAATTTCTCCCTACGGCAGGACGTGCCCTCCTCGTAGGTCATTGAGTTGCTCGACCGAGCTCCTGTAAATTCCGTCCCAGCCCTGCTGTAGTTGCCTAGTGGGCCATTCGAAGTAAAAGAGCCACTCAAAGTTCTTTGCTGAGAAATTTGAGAGAGAATAACCAACGACTGCTAGTTTAGCGTCTTCTAATACTAGGCCGATGGTGAGTAAGCTCTAGGTCGTACTCGTGCAGCATCAGTATCTCAGCCACTACCTAACAAAACCTTGGGGTTTTTTCCTTGTATTTTCTCCACATTTTGATGGGTTTACCAGTTTAGATTCGGTACGATCAGCAAGTACTTTGACGAGTTGGAGGCATGGTATTCTGAGAATGGAGTGCAACCGCCTGCTCTCAGAGGCGACTTCTTTCCTTATGAGTGAGCTATACCTTTTAATTAGAGACATCTTTAACGATATTGATTGCCGCGAAGCATATGGTGTAGACGTATCCCATAGCGCTTTGGCCGATCACACGCTTTCTCCCTCTTACGTGTTACGGCGGACGCACCGAATGACTGTGGCTGTGGTCCACGCCATTTGATCATCATTGGAAAGTTCATCCAAAGTTGGATTACTGTGCGAAGTTCCATGATAGCGAATGTAAATGGACATGGCGGAAGTGGGGTAGTGGCAAGTGGCACGCTACAAAGTCTTCTACACTTCGGGGCGATAACGGGTAAATTGAACATACTTGTCTGGCGAGCGACGAGGAACCAACAAATTGCTACGGCAAGTTCATTGTCGGCAGGGCACATCGCACTTCAATGAGAATTAAGATTTTGAAGGGTTCGGAATGCGTGCCGCATCACATATGGAGAGTGGTCAACGGCGAGACCTTCAGCGCTTATCATTCGAGGCACTCGTCATACTGTCAGGTGCATACGAAAAGTATGGAATTTTGACGCATCCGTAGATACGTGACGCAACAACGCGCAGAATCCCGTGGACCCTTATTGTCTTTTTGTGTAGGTGAAACGGGATGCAGAATGCAGAGGAGCTTATGAGCCGTTTCAGTCAAGGTGATAAAAGAGTTCTTCTAGGTTGAGTTCATCAACCGCCTGGACCGGTTATTACTCGACGAGGCCGTTCTTCAAAGCACAAGAAAGACGTCTTCATGTGGGAATTTCATTCAACTTTAATTCTTCTTGACAACTTTATATGCGCTTCGAATAGTATAATGAGATCAAGGTTCCTCGAAGGCAGTTGGCACGATGGTTTCCTACTTAGCCTAGAATGCTAGTGAGAGCTGTATAGTGGGGGAAATGGCGAAACGGAGTGAAACGGTCAAAATCCTGCGAAGAAAAAGCCTCCGTTCCCAGTGACTTGAAAATCGATTTCGGACGAGTTTCCCGTACGGCATACTCTGGCAGTCACCGTACGAAGATTTAACGGCTGCATATACGTACCCATATATCCATGCAGCATCACGGCCGCTTCATACCAATCCCTTCGCTTCATAATTTGCTTAGCAAATGAATCGATTAGAGCGTCAGGAACGGTCGTCCATTTGTGGGCGGCGTGGGGCGTGGCGGCGCGCGTGTTGGTCGTGTGATTTGTGGCTTGATAGACCACCTTTCTCGGGGAAACCGCAACTGCAAGCGCATTGCCCAGGGTCCGGGAATTCTATCCTTTGCCAGGAGTTATTGATCCTTATGTCCGTCCTGGGGGACTTTTATACGTGCCAACTGGCCTTCAAGAAGATCACGCATTCGAATAGAATACAAGAATGTATAGAAATTTATCGGTTGAAAAATCGATATGAATAGGCGGCTTCTTAGTCTTCTTTACTAATTCCATTCACAATATTTGTTTATTCTATTAAATATTCTCGGTATTTAATAATGTGTCTAGTTTGGGCATGCTCCTGCTGAATTTATGGAGCATATCTACATTTTAGGCAATACATGTAGTTTCCAAACCAATGTTTCCAAACCCAGTTCCAAACAATGTGTATCTGACCCCATGAAGCTAGACCAAATCGACCGAGGGTCAATGGAACATCCTACGCTGGTTGGAGCTGGGCTTTCTAGTTCGCTGTCCTTAGTGGTTTGTTCCTGCTCTCCGACCAGGGCACGTCATCGTGTGATGATCACGCGGGGAGGCGCGGCGTATGACCGCCGAGGAGGGCGGGTCGTCGTTTTTTGGTAAGATTGGTGAGAAGCGACTTACAAAGGTCAATACAACTTGCTACTTTCGACAGTTTGAAAAGTGATAGGACGGCAGCATCGCTCCCCCGCTCGACAGCAAATTTGAGGGAAAAACCAGAAATTTTTCAGGAAATTTCGGAAAAACTGGAACGAGGCAAGGGAAAATCTGGAATATTTCTCTGTTTCACATTGGGTAAATACCCCCCCCCCCCCCTCCTACACCTTCCACCTCCCCGCTCAACTCCGCTCAGCACGGAAATTTTCTTTGTGAAAAAACCGTCAGATTTTCGGGAAGAGTTGGAAAAAGTCGGCGGGGGAAGTTCGGGAAAACTTAGGAAAGTGGGTTATAGATCACATGGTCGTATTCGATGTTGGAATTGGGGGCGGTCGTATTTTTCAGAGGAAATGATCCCAACGCGATGGCGTGCCCTGTCTCCGACGTCTCAAAAGTGAGGGGCGATCCAATAGGAAAGACGTTGTAGGCCCAGCCTTACCCTTACAAGAGAGAAATGTGAGGGTGGAATCCATTGCTACTAGGTTGTCAAGGTATAGCCATGATCCCTGTAAACGTTAGGGCGTGTGACGGGACGTGGTTTGGATCGCAGCTACAACAGCGTTACCGCCGATTGCTGCAGACTCATGGATAGCATCTGATGGGAAGGCCGTCTCGGCAGTGCTCCAATCCACTTCGTCGCATACCCTATCTCGCAGGGATTATTACTGTAGATTCCGCTACTGACAGCGTGAAAAACCGTTTCATAGGATGTAGAACGACAGGTTGACTTGCAAAAGTATGTTTTCGTCCCAAGGGCCACTGAAAACGACGATATGAACCTATTCTGTGGGCTAACTGCCTATCAGCGCCCTGCAATGAACACAATTGACGGATGCGTTTGTGTCTATCGTCACGGTCACCTGTGTTCATTTCCACCTTTTCTCATTTGGTCCAAGCGCCTCGTAGTTTTTTTTACCAAGATCCCTCGAAGTGTTGCAAATGTTCTACAAAGAGAGGAGTATCAGAGATTCACATTTGGGGGGGGGGGGGGAGTGAATGCATATTCCTGCTTTTTCTTCGCGGTCAGCTAGGTAACTATCACATACGGTTTCATATTTAAAGGCAGCGCCCACGTTCATTTGATGTTTTCCCGTGC